TGCCCCTCGCTGTATGGTGTCTCTACATCTTACTGGGGGAATCTGAGGCTAGGAGGGGCAGAAATAGTAATCCTCATGTATCAGTTTGCTAGGGCTGCCATGACAAAATTCCACAGGCTGGGTGGCTTAACAGAAATTTATTTTCTCACAGTTCTAGAGGCCGGAAGTCTGGGGTCAAGGCGTCAGCAGGATTGGTTTCTGGTGAGGGCTGTCTTCCTGGCCCATAGACGGCTGCCTTCTCCCTGTGTCTTCACAACATCGCTCTGTGTGTGTCTGCATCCTCACCTCTTCTTATAAGGACACTGGTCATATTGGATGAGGACCCACCCTCACGGCTTAATTTAAACCCCAGTATCCTCTTTAAGGATCCTGTCTCCAAATACTGTCATATTTTGAGATACTGAGGGTTAAGATTTCAAGGGCAGGGCACAGTTCAGCCCATAACACCCCACCATAAGTCAGAGAAGACATGGAGAAGCTCCTTTTCTCAGGAGATGGCAGCAAGGGATAGGGTCCCAAGGCCAGACCCAAATGCCTGAAGACCAAGTCAGAGCCCAGGCCATCAACAGGAAAGCAGCAGACGAACTGGTCTGCAGGGCAAACTGGGGTCAAAACAGAGCTGCAGTGCAGCCTGGGGGCACAGTGGGGCCAGGGTTCAGAACCAGGCCCACGGAACTGTTATGGGCAGCCTGCTGTGGAGGTGAGGGGCAGACAGGTACCAGCGGGGTACCTGTGTGTGTGTGTGTGTGTCCTCCCAGGTCAGTCTGGAGGGCATGGGCACTCCTTAGTGCTGTGCGTCCAAGGTGGGTCCATGCAACGCCTTCCACCCCGATCTCTCCCCTCTTCCACCTCCAGTCCTGGCCTGACCTCAGTCTCTAAGCTGATCAGCCTCCCTTCTCCCCACCCCACATCTGTCTTCCTTCAAGGAACCTTCCAGTAGCTTTTCCTCCCATGCCATGCTCCATGATGTCTGGCAGTCAGAGCTCTGTGCCGAGAGGCAGGCCGGAGTGCGGGTTAGCACACATATATGTGTACACTCAAGCACACACTTAGTGTCTCTGAAAACTTGACGGACCATGTGTCTATTCATTCCACCAGTCTTACCTCCTCCCTCTCCAGCCACACCAGAAGGCTTCAAGGGCCTTCCCCACCTCCCGGGGAAAACTGAGGTCCAGAGAGATCAAGCAGGATCCTTTAAGCTCCAGAATAGGTGAGTGGGAGAGCAAAGATTAGTGCTAGCATCTCAGAGACCCACGCTGCTCCACCGCTGAGGAGACTATAGGGCCCCAGCAGGATGGAGTGGTTCATGGTGGTGATGGGAGAGGCTGCTGCGGGCCACAGTGACATACATATAAAAATTGCAATGCCCTAATGTCAGCTTTTTGGCTCCCTCTTCTGAATGCCAGCTGTTTTCTTGATACAGGTTACTTCCCCTTCCAGAAACTCAGCTTTCTTATCTGCAAGGTTGCTAACAGGGTCCAGAGCCCCTAGGCCTGGGGCCAGGAGCCCTCCCCTCAGTGGCCACCCAGTCTCCTCTTGGATGCCCCATGGACAAGGAACTCATTACCCCCACAGCATCCCAGTCAGTGCTGGGCTGTTCATTCAGAGAATTTCATTCTTTCAACAAAAATGTATTGAGGGCCTGCTATGTGCCAGGCCATGTTGTAAGCACTAAAATAGAGCAGGAAGCAAAGCCCTGTCTGTGCCCCCATGGAACTTAATTTCTAGTTGGCAGAAACAGACACATGCATATAATATAGAGTTAAGTGGTGGTAAGTGCTATGAAGAAAATGAAACAGGAAAAGGGATAGAGAGAAATCAGCGGCACGGATGGGGGAAAGACAGTGCTACTTTAGATAAATGATCAGGAAGATGTCCCTAAACAAAGATTGATGAGAGAGAGAAAAAAAAAGAGAGGGGGAGAGAAACATGTGAATATCAAGGGGAGAAAATTCAAGGCAGGAGGAACAGCAATGCAAAGGCCCTGGGGTAGAAATATTTTCTCATTATATTCCAAGAACAGCAGATGGTTTGGATGATCCAGGATCCTGGTTTTGCTAGACCAGCTCCTCCCCCAGCGGGGTGAGGGGATTCAGGTGGGGGATGCAGTCACACTTCCCCAATCCCTTCCTTCATGCCCCTCTGAGTCCGGTGCCCATCTGGTGGTCTCTGCCTCTGCTGTGCCTCCAAGGAATCCAGATGGTCAGTCGTGAAGTTGGAACAGTAAGAGAGGGCAAAGGGGACTAAGTGCCACTTAGCAGCTCTGGGGTCTCCAGGGGATGGATAACAAAGGCAGGGCTAGTCCCCCCCACCACCACCTTGTACCTCTGCAGCCTGGATAGTGAGCACTGAGAGCTCACTGACCGCAGCTGCACTTCTCCCAGCCTAGAGGGAGGAGCGTGGGGCCCCACCTTGACCCCAGTATTCAAAGGCCCTGTACCTCCCCATACATGCAGCAGTGCCCCTGCCCTGAGCGGCTCTGCAGGTCCCAGAGGATGTCTTGTTCTTGGTCTTTCAGCTACTCAATGTCCCTGTGAGGGGGAGGGACTGATGTCACCACCGCAACTTTAGAGGTGGAAACTGAGGCTCAAAATGGAAAGCAACTTGCCCAGTGAGTCTGTGGCAGAGAGAGGCCTTGCACTTGAGTCCCAAAGCTGGTTGGTTCGCCTGCTTGCTGCTGCTTCCAAAGCAGGGTCCAAATGTGGATCCTGCATTTCCACAGTCAGCCTCGGGGCCAGCATTCCCCAGGCTGCAGGGACACATTATAAGACCTCAGGCACCAGCCAGAAAGGCTCTCCCCATCTCTGCAAACAACTTCCTGTCCTCATTTGGACTCTGCTGCACACCCGCACCCCACCGTCAGTTCCCAGCATTTCTTGCCAATGATTTCCCCACTTGGTCCTAAGGGCTGCTCAGGTCCTCCCGAGCACGCCACAGGAGAAGTGGTGAGAGCACGTGCCACGCCTCTTAAAACAACTGACCCCAACAGCCTTCGTCATACCCCAAGCCTGTTGCCTTATTTTTTGAACGAGGAAGATTACTGCAGATTTTGTTTTAAAGGATATTGAGACCAGAGCCTCAAGAGCAGGGAATTTTTAGTTCACTGCTTTTGCGAGGAACTGGATGTGAAAGTTTGTGAAACTGCCAAGGTTTAATTGACAGTGGTAAAATGATAAATATGCATAAACTGCAAGTAATGTCTAGTACTGACTAGGAGTCTCCTCTTTGGGACGTAGGTCTCTGCAGATCACTCAGTGTAGATCAGCCATGATTTGTGGAAGGCTTTCTTGGTGCAAGGCCAGGTAGGTAACAACTCCTACACAAGGCAGGATGGGAGGTCCCCGCAGAGAAGGACAAAGCTCTGAGGAAACTCCCAGGAGTTGAGGGCACATCTTGGAGGGCTTCATGGAGGAGGTGGCATTGAAGCTGGACCCTGGAGGAAGATTCAGATTTGGATGTGCACAAATAAGAAAGGAGAGAATCTAATGCAGAGGGTGCAGCATGAGCAAAGGAGGGGAGATAAGGCAGCATCTGTGAGTGTGAAGGTCAGTGAGTTGTCCAGTTATGCCACCAGCAGGGCATTGGGAGGAGGAATCCTAGGAGAAAAAGGATCCTGATGCTTTGTGTAGGGGGCCCTGAATGTCACGCTCAGGTACAAAAGTGAGTTTGGGTTTTATTTTGTAAGCAGATGGGAGAGCTTCTTTGATATATACACATTTGCATTGTGTTGCACAATTCATAGAGTGCTTTCTTATTTGATTCTCAGAAACAAAACAAATGACAACACAGCCTCCTGCGAGACCAGCATTACTGTTATCATTGTCCTGATTTTACAGTTGAGGAATGTGACTCGGGAGGTTCTTGGGAAGATCCAAAATAAGATTTCAAACCTCAAGCCTCCACTTGCATCCTTCCTGTTCCTTGACAGTGTCCAACAAGTTTTGAGCTGGGAGTGAGGGGGGCAACAGTGTCTGATTTGTGTCCAGGAGAGAAAACACTCCGGCTGCTTTGTGGGGCAGGAGAATGCCAGGGAGGAGGGGAGACCCTGCTGGCCAGTGGTATGTCGTCATAGTGACAAAAGTAAGGCCAGAATGGGAGCAGGGAGGGAGGGCAAGGGGCAGCCCGAGGTGGAATTGCCAGAAGTTGGCAGCCTCCTTGGTAGGTGGGGAGAGGGAGTTAAGAGGAGGGAGGAGGCCCATGTTTAGGTGTGCGAGACTGAGAATAAAATTTCCTGCTTATATAGTCTGTGGCCAAAGGGAGAAGGGAGACAGCTGCTGGGGACCCTACACCAGCTGAGACAGCAGGTGCAATACTAAGGAGCTTGGGTTTGAGAGTCAGGGGACCCCAGGTTCGAGTCCTGCTGCTGGCCCCTTTGCCCATGTAACTTGGTTAAATTATTTAAGTGCCTTGCACCTTAGTTCATTTATCTGTAAGATGTTAGAATTGGCACTCAAAAAGGAAGTTACTGATAGAAAACTGGTTGCGTGGAGGGAGATCATAATAATACGTACCTCAAAGGATTGATCTGAGGATGAAATACAGTAACGCCTGTCCCACACGGAGCGCAGTGCAGGTTACACAGGGATCACAGGGACTCTTTTCAGCACCAGAGTCCACTCAGTCCTTTATTTGCACGACTTTGAAAGTCCTCACAATGGCACTTTGAGGCAGAAACAATTATACTTGTTTTACAAGTGAGGACGCTGGGGATAGAACCTCCTGAAGGTTCACAAGGTTTTGCGATGGTATTGGCTTTACCCCTATGTCGCAGGTAAATACATGAAGCGGTGGCTGAGAGGGTAATTCACATACGAGCAAAGGGGGTGCCAGGCTTGGAGTTCGGGGAGCCAGGCCTGAGCCAGGCTAGGGGCCCACCGGAGGATAGACAGCCAGGCTGAACCTGCCCAGTTAGAAGAATGGGCAGCCCTCTGTGGGGTGGGCGAGACGAGGCTGGGAGCACCCGGGGGTCCCAGCGTGCCCTCTCCTGACCACCCTGGGCCTCTTTCCTCTGTCTGTCCCCAGCCTCTGGCCGCTCCCACCCGGCCAGCCCCAGCCCGCCGGGGCCGCAGGCCAGCCCGGTACTGCCGGTCAGCTACCGCCTGTCGCACACGCGGCTGGCCTTCTTCCTGAGGGAGGCGCGGCCCCCGTCACCCGCGGTCGCCAACAGCTCCCTGCAGCGCTCCGAGCCCTTCGTGGTGTTCCAGACCAAGGAGCTGCCGGTCCTCAACGTCTCGCTGGGGCCCTTCAGCACCAGCCAGGTGGTGGCGCGGGAGCTCCTGCAGCCTTCTAGCACCCTGGACATCCCCGAGCGCCTGACGGTGAACTGGAAGGTGCGGGCCTTCATTGTCCGCCCGCGCGTGCCCGCCTCGCAGCCCGTGGCCCAAGTGCTGTTCTACGTGGCCGGCCGGGACTGGGACGACTTCGGCGTCACGGAGCGGCTACCCTGTGTCCGCCTGCACGCCTTCCGGGATGCCCGGGAAGTCAAGAGCTCCTGCCGCCTCAGCGGGGGCCTGGCCACTTGTCTCGTGCGGGCCGAGCTGCCCCTGGCCTGGTTCGGGCCCCCAGCCCCGGCTGCGCCGCCCACAGCCCGCCGCAAGTCCCCGGACGGGCTGGAGCCCGAGGCGACAGGGGAGAGCCAGCAGGCCGAGCTCTACTACACGCTCCACGCCCCTGATGCGTCGGGGGGCTGCGGGGGCTCCCGCCGTGGGGCCGGGCCCGGGGTGGGGGCCCGAGCGGAGAGCCCTACCCAGCACCCCCTGCTGCGCATCGGGAGCATCAGCCTGTTCCGCCCGCCCCCCAGGAGGACCCTGCAGGAGCACAGGCTGGACAGCAACCTGATGATCCGCTTGCCAGACCGGCCCCTCAAGCCCGGGGAAGTGCTCAGCATCCTCCTCTATCTGGCCCCCAACTCCTCCTCGTCCTCCAGCCCCAGCGTGGAGCACTTTACACTCAGGTAGTAGGGAAGATGGGTGGGGATCTGGTTTCCCTTCCAAGATCAAATGCATACCTGACTCCTTGTGGGTGGGTGGGAGGGGGGACCTCCCAGCTGTATCCCTGTCCAGCTTCCTAATCCTAGGTCTGTCATTTAGTACTTGAGCAACCTCAGGAAGATACCTCGCTTATTGGAGCCGCAGTGCTCTTACCTGTCTAATGGCAACAAACATTCCTGCCCCTATTTCTGGATCTCATAGAAATGGCATCATGGTAAAGAGGAAATATCAGTTTCACAATCATAGATGTCCAGAATAATAGAACTGGGACTAGAAGTGCCCTTAGACATTTTACAGACAAGGAGACTGAGGCCAAGGAAGAGAAATGGGGACCAGAGAGCAGCCTCTTGGCTGGGAGCCAACAGAAGCGTGAGTGTGTGTGTGTGTGTGTGTGTGTGTGTGTGTGTGTGTGTGTGTGTGTGTGTTTAGGGACATTTGCTCCAGTCCTAGAGTTGGGAGAAAAATTTTCAGGATTCCCAGCTCTTTCTATCCTTCTACATCTTGAAAAGGACACAGTTTGCAAACTCAAAAATGCCTTCGATTGTATCGCATCCCCCCAAAACATGATAATATTTCACACTAGGAATCTATGGTTTGACCTATGTTGTGTAACTCTGAGGACACCCACCAAAATGCTTCCCCACCCCCAGACACTATGCATGGGACCTGAAACATCACCATTAGCCTGCAACTTCTAGTATTTCCCTGTCTCCTCAGTGTCCTACCTTCAAGTTTAAATATTGTTGGAAAGAGTCATGCCTGATTCAGTGATTGATACCTGAATGTGAACATAAGTTAAATCAGTCATCAGAGATCTTGGGCTGCATTAATAGGAGTAGAGCTTGCAGAATTAGAGAGGTGGCAATTACCTCACTTTAGCCAATGTTCATTGGGGTGCAGCTGAAGTGTTGTATTTAGTACGGGACACTTCACATTTAGTGTCCAGAAGAGCGTGACTGGCTGTGAGGTGATTCAGAATTATGGCAACAAACAATTGGAGGAACTGAAGGAAAGAAGATTCAGAGAACACCTACTCACCTCCCCAGCTTTTTGAAGAACTACTACAGTTAAGATGGAGGGGAATTGTTCTCTGTTGCCCCGCAGAACCTGTGGCTGTTTTAGCTCAACCACATCCAGGGAAGATCTTTCTAGTTTTCATGGGCTTTCTGAAAAAGGAATGAGATGTGTGCAGTAGTGAGTCCTGTCACTAAGGTATGCCAGTAGAGATGAGGCAAAGACTTGGCAGGGATATGGTAGAAGGAATTTCAGCTTTCACCGAGGGTCAGAGTTTTCAGCTGTGTGATACCAGATTCCCCAAATTCATCTGAAACATTCATCTGAAACTTCCAGGACTCAGGGTAACTTAGCTTATCTGTCCCCTTCCCCCCAGTACAGCCTAGTGATGGTGGCCAGGTGGGCAGCTTTGGGCTGTAGCCTGACCCTCTCCCTCTTCTTCCTCCCACTTTGTCCCAGGGTAAAGGCCAAGAAGGGTGTGACCCTTTTAGGTACCAAGTCAAGGAGTGGCCAGTGGCATGTGACCTCGGAGCTGCTGACTGGGGCAAAGCACTCAACAGCCACCGTGGATGTGACCTGGGCTCAGGGCACACCCCTGCCCCCCTGGTGAGCCAGAGTTGGTGCATCTACCCACCTCTTTGCAGAGCAGCCATCTGAGAGGGGTGGGGAATCTCTGAAGGAAGAGGCTGGACTTGGGGAGGGCTGGGGCTTGGCCTCTGGGGTCTCTGAGGTCCAGGCCCCTCAGTGGCATCCTGGGGCTGGAGCACCTCAGATGGGCTGGAGAAGGCTCACAGGGCCCCGTCAGGTAGCTCCCGGGGAGAGGTGGGGTCCCCATTGAGGGTTTCTGAGCTCCTGGGCCACTCCCAGCCCTTCATCCTCTGCTCTCCTTCCCTCCCCTCCCCTGGCAGGGAGGTCCAGGGCCCCTTGGAGATCCTGCAGCTGGACTTTGAAATGGAGAACTTCACCAGCCAGTCGGTCAAGCGGAGGATCATGTGGCACATTGACTACCGTGGCCACAGCGCCCTGCCTGACCTGGAGCGGGCAGTCACTGAGCTGACGGTCATTCAGCGGGATGTGCAAGCCATTCTACCCCTGGCCATGGTGAGCAGACAGGTGACCGGCCCAGAACATGCCTGAGTCTATGCATGCATGCACATTTGTGTGACAAGAATGTGAACCACTGAGTATATGTACAAATTGACATGTGTGTATATGTGAGACTTCCTGCCATGCCCAGGTATGCCTGTGTGAGAAGCTGTGTGCATGTGTGTTATATTTGTGAGGCCATGAGGACAGCAGATGCTCGTGGGGGCAGAGGTGGGAGATGTCACCATGGAGGGACCACTGATGGGAAGTTTGCAGGAGGAGGTAGCAATGCAGTTGAGTCTTGGAGGTCACCTGGGAGGGAGGGCTCCCAGAGATGCACAGTGTGTCCTAGGCAGGGCATTACTTGGGCAAAGGTACAGTAGTGAGAATATGAGTAGTTTGTTCAAAAGAACTATAGATTTAGAAAGAGCGTCACGGAGTGGTAGGGCTGGAATGATTGTCTGGGGCCAGCCCAGGGCAGCTTGAATGGCCAGGGGCATGTGTTGGACGTTACTATGTGAGTCCTGAGGAGCCTGGAAGCTGTTTAAGAGGAGACGGCAGGGGCCTGGGGAAGGATTGTTTCCTGGCAGCACAGTGAGGTGGACCCTGAGGTTCCTGTAAAAGCCCAAAGTGAGCAGACCATCTGTCAAGGAGCGTGAGGCGGGGTGGTTGCCTATCCCTGCACACGTGTGCAAGTGTCCCCACTGGAAGGATGTGCATCTGAGAAGTGGGGGGGGGGTGTCCAGGAGCCGGGCCCTTCGCTAGTGTGCCCCAGGACAGAAGAGGACCACAAGCAGAGCCCCCCTCCCTGCTTCTCCTCCCTGCAGGACACAGAGATCATCAACACTGCCATTCTGACTGGCAGGACAGTGGCCATCCCTGTCAAGGTCATTGCCATTGAGGTGAATGGCCTCGTCCTAGACGTCTCTGCCCTAGTGGAATGCGAGTCAGACAATGAAGACATCATCAAGGTGGGCATCCTGGAGGTGGGGCCCCTGGGGAAGAAGCCCTAGGCCTTCAGGAGAGCAGAACCTCAGACCAGAGTCCAGGTGGCTGACTCTTATTCATCCTCTAAGACAGAACTCATGCCTCCCTGTGCTGGGACCCCTTCTGTTGCAGCAGCTGCCCCACCCTTTTCCTCCTACAGCACTGGCCTTACTTCATCCCAAGCTTCACAACACCATTCTGAAAGGGTTCATTCCCAAGTCTACTGACTCCCATGGTACTCCGTCTTCCTGCCCCTGGATACTGCTTTAGCCAGTCCTGGAGGGCTTCCTATAGGAATATGAAACAGACTGTCAGGCCAGAGGGGAGAAGGCAGTGTCAACAACTTGAAATCAATCTAGCAAGACATTATTGAACCTTGGTGTGTGGCAGACACCTGGCAAGGCAACGGGGTGGGTGAGGGAGACAACCCCTCAAAGACCTGCTCTGAACCCAGAGTGCGAGTGATCGGATGAAGGCAATATAGCTCAGGAAGAAGTCTCAAGAAGTATGTGAGTAAGGCCAGGCGTGAAGGTTGTGTACTGAGGGCCCCACTCCCGGCACACACGCTCCAGCTCCTCCAGCTCCTAAAGGCTCCTCTCAGCCGTGAGCTCCCAGCCCACCTCTGAGCTCCTCCCCAGGGACTTGCTCTGGCCCCAGGTCCTCCACAGCCCAGCCCACACGACACTCATCTGACTCAATGACCCAGTTTGCCACCTCCCCAAGAGGACTCCAGATTCGCTCCTTCCCCTGGCTTTGAATGGTGGTCAGAAGTGAGTTGGGAAGAGGAGGCAGTAGAGTGGGCAGTGGTGTGAGCAGATGTCCAGCCCTGGTACCTGTGGGGTGGGTCAGCCGCTCACTATGCCACCCTCCAGCAGGCATCAAAATCAGATGATTAGACAACTGAATTCGTTCTTGCTCCTGTAAATAATTCAGCTTGAAGGAGAGCAGGACAGTTGGAATGCAGATGTCCTCCTCCTGGTCACTTGGGCTCGCTCCTGCTCTCTCTCTCTATGCTTTGCCTTTGGGTCCCTCCAAGTCTGGGGAGCATGGGGCTTACCTCTTCTATCCATCATCCAGGAAGGATGCCTTCCAAGGGAGCCAGAGCAGATGGTCTGGTACCCCCCACTCCACTGCATCACCCCCTTCAGAGAAGCCTCACCAGAAGTCTGTGGGGCTGTCCACGGCTGGCAGACTGGGATGGGAAGAAACAGGTCTGCTTCCAAGGGCCCTCACCCAGCACCTTCTCTGCCACCCAGACTCCCCCACCCCAGCTCCAGAGCAGAACCAAGGAGAATTAGAGAAGATGTTAAATGAAATTGGTTACAAATCTCGATGAAATATACTCAGGTCTTATGGAGTCTGCCACATTGTAAGTGGAATTTACAGGTCTGCAGTTGGAATTCTTTGCCTTCCGAGGTGGGAAATGAGCATTTCTGGCAGGGCTGCTGTCCCATCCCTCCACCCACCCCTCTGAGATGATGATGGGAGCTGGCAGGGTTTGGCATGCCCCAGGGGCTCATCTCCATGGATAAGCCATAGTCCCAACGCCCCTGGGTCCTTCCAGAGCCTTCAGGGCATCATCAACCCACCAGCTGAATGATAGACCTGCTCCCAAACTCAAGACCATGTATCCATGGACGTACGCCAGCATGAGCACCTAGATGCATGTACACACAGCATCCGTTCTGGGCTGCCAGGTGTGTGCGTGGGCATATTTAACACACAGAGCCATCTGCATTTGCCCTAAAGTACTGGCAGTGACACCTCTGTGAGTGGGCACAGGTATCCACCAAGATGTACTCAGCAGGCGTGTGGTTTCCATCCAGGGAACCTCTAGGAATGCAAGTTGGTATCCAGGTGGGCAGGCATTTACAACAGCCACATTCGTTGGTGGCAGCCATCCACCCATCTATGCCTGGGGTTCTCTGGTCCTGAGTTTTCCTCTCCCATTCCCTCATCTCCACACCTGGTTAAGCAGCCCCCCTCACCAGAAATCAACTACCTGCCCATTCTCCTGGGGCAACCATGCCAGAGAGGCTGTGGAGGACATGGGCCTGCCCCTCATCCCCATCCCCTCCACCTCAATGTCCTCCCTTCCCAGTTAAGTGCCCATGTCCTTTTCTGCACCATAGAGGACTCTACCTGCCAGACCCCTGGATCCAGAGCCCCGCCAGTCCTGCTAGGGGAGGGGAGCCAGCCCTGAGAGGCCCTCACCCTGGAGCCTCCTCCAAAGTGTGGCTCTGGCAGATCAGGAACAGCCCCTGAAAAGCATTTGCATGTTGGCTCCTTACTAAGGAACAAAAGCCTTCCCCCAGTGGGCACCAAGAGGTGATCTCGAGAAAGAGCAAAAGCAGTGATGGAAGCCGGGACTCCCAGAGGAGTCAATGCCTCCTTCCACTGGCCGCCTCTCCTTCAGCCTCCTAGGACTTTCCCTCCAGCCCTGCTTGTCAGACTGAAGTTCCCTGCATTGCCTCACAGGAAGACCTGTACGGCAAGACGTGCCAACTGTTCCTCCCTTCCCCCAGGTTTCCAGCAGCTGCGACTACGTGTTTGTGAGCGGAAAAGAGTCTCGAGGGTCCATGAACGCCAGGGTCACCTTCCGCTACGACGTTCTCAATGCCCCCCTGGAAATGACGGTCTGGGTACCCAAGCTGCCCTTGCACATTGAGCTCTCAGATGCCCGCCTCAGCCAAGTGAAGGGCTGGAGGGTACCCATCCTCCCCGACCGGAGGTACAGCCCCTCTCCTATGGCAGATACTTGGGATACTCATGGGTGGATACAACCTCGGCCAACAGTCTGACCTGCATATGGATATAAGGCCCTTGGTATACATAGTCTGTCGGTTGGTTGTGCAGTTAACAAACTTTCATTGACCAGCTACTGTGAGCTAGGCACTGGCAAGTGTTTGAGATGGGGTGACTGTGACCAGTGCCTGACCATGCCAGTCTCTCAGTCCAGCAGGGGAGGAAGGCATGTGCGTACCACAGAACATGGTGATGGGTGGGAAGCCCTGTATGCAGGGAATCAAGTGGCACAAGGAGAGGACCGCTTCTTCCTCCAGGAGAAGTCAAGGCAGGCTTCCTGGAAGAGACAACTCTTGAGCTAAGTCTTAAAGAATGAACTGAAAGGAGTTGGCTGGGGAGACAGGTTAAGAGACTGCCTGCAGTCAGGCAGACAAAATGGAGCAGACACAGCTATACGCGTGTGCCCCAGCCTGGGCACATCAAGGACACACTAGTGAGTGCATGAGTGCAGGCACACTGTGACTCATACCCAGGCTCCCTTGTGGGCTTGTAAGCTCAGGCACCTGGGTGCCCATATGTGGGGCATATACGTGTGTACTCACCGCATTCCAATCACCCACTCAGCTGCTGGAGAGAAAAGCCCAGCAGGGAAGAGAAGAGAGGAAAGTGACAGGCAGCTAAGAGCAGGAGGTGGGCGGGGCTGGAGAGAGAAGCAGGTGGTGAGAGAAACAGGCAGCCAAGTGAGAAATGGGCTGAGTTCAACTCAGACAGGTTTGGAAGAGCACTGTGGCATAGACCAGTGCCTCTCAAACTTTAATGTGTACATGAATCACCTGGGGATCGGGGTAAAATGCAGATTCTGACTGGGCAGGTCTGGGGTAAAGCCTGTAATTCTGCATTTCTCACCAGCTCCTGAGTGATAGCGATACTGCTTTGAGTAGCAGTGGACTCTGAAGCCAGACAGCCTGGTTTAAGTCCTGCCTCTGCTATTTACTAGCTGTGTAAACTTGGGCTACTTATGTAACCGCTCTGTGCCTCCATCTCCATATCTGTAAAATGGGCACAATAACACCTGCCTCATAGGATTTTTGTGAGGAATAAATTAATTAACCCAGGTAAAAGAACTCTCGGTGTAAATGAATATTCTAGTTGCTTGATCCTCCAGTACACCAACAAAGCACTAGCTACAGAGAGAAACACTTGGCTTTATCACCAAAGCACACCTTCCTGGCAGTAAACCTCTCAATTTTAGCATTTTTTTTTTTTTGCAATGTGCACAGGCTGAGAATTTCCCAAATCATCAAGTCCAGGTTCCCTTTTGCTTAACAGTTTATCTATGTGTCTCTCTCCTCTCACATTTGACTAAAAGCAGCTAAAGGAAACCAGGCCACAATTTCCACACCTTGCTTGGAAATCTTCTCAGTTAAATGTCCGAGTTCATCACCTACGGGTTCTGCTTAGCTTCCTCACAACCGCAGAACACAATTCAGCTAAGATTTCTGGCATTCTATAAAAAGGATCACATTTGCTCCAGGTTAGAGCTTAAAACAGTGCCAGGCGCAAACTTAGTACTGAAGAAGAGGCAGCAGTTGCTGTTAGGATTTGACACCAGCTATTCTCAGGCTTGGCTTAAGCCAAGAGGAGGCAAATAGGAACAGGAGGTAGGGTCGAGAAGGTACTTTTCTAGGAGAGAAAAGACTGGGACTCCTGGCTCCAAACTTAGAGATGAAAGGCATGAACCAGAGAGGAGGCTTGCTTTTGCAGAGCTTCTGGGAAGCTGGGAGGACCCAACAGGGCAAGGGTGAGGGGTGTGAACTGTGCAGGTGAGAGTCCAGGTGAGAAGCCTTCAGCATGGCATGTCCCCACCCCAGGTCAGTCCGGGAAAGCGAGGACGAGGACGAGGAAGAGGAGGAGCGGCGGCAGAGTGCAAGCCGGGGCTGCACCCTGCAGTACCAGCATGCCACCCTGCAGGTCTTCACCCAGTTCCACACGACATCATCCGAGGGCACCGACCAGGTGGTCACCATGCTAGGCCCGGACTGGCTGGTGGAGGTCACTGACCTAGTCAGTGACTTCATGCGGGTGGGCGACCCCCGAGTGGCACACATGGTGGACAGCAGCACACTGGCAGGGCTGGAGCCAGGCACCACCCCCTTTAAGGTAGGTATGGGCTCTGTCCCCACACAAAGGGGCAGTGTTGGGAGCCTTATTTACCTGTGGGTGCAGAACTCAGATTTTCCCAACCCCAACTGGCCCCCAGAACACTCTTCCCTGCCTGCCCCTTGTCTGAAATTCCAAGGTCAAGCTCCCTTAGCTTCATCCTGGTAAAAGTTCTCACTCCAAGCTGTATCAACCTTTATCAATCCTCAGTGTGGGTGACTCAAGCAGACCCCTCCCTGAGAGCAGAGGGGGAGCAGGTGAGAGTCAGCCAGGCTGGAGTCCAGGAAGGTGCGTTTGGTGATCTAGGAACTGAACTTTGACCTTTCCTGACTTGTTTCAACCCTGACAATTGGGTGTCTGGATAGAAATCATCTACCTAAGAAACTATTGTGACCTGTAGGCTAGAATCTGCCTGCAGACATATCTTCTTTGTAAAACAATTGATCCAACGTGTTTTTAATTGGGAGATTTCTCATTTAAAAAATACATATAGATTCTGGTTTCACAAAAAATGAATCTAGCAACAATCAGCTGAAGCCGGTATTGGTGCCTCCTATACGTGAGAATGAGTTCCCTCATTTTCCACAGTCCTCACCACTCCCTTTTCTCTCTCTGACATTGAGGTTGCACATCAATTGCTGCTTATCACTGTGTGTGGGTTGTTGTTTTCCTTAGAATTGGCCCACCTCTCTCATTTGTGTTCTTGCCTGACTCCTATGAGCCCCTAACACTCTCATGACCTCTGGACACTGGTTCCTGGTTGCAGACCTGAGCCAGAGCTGCAAAGTCCTGCCTCCCAGCCTGCCTCACCCTTCAGGCCCCTCTTGCAGCAGTGCTGGGATTTCTCCCTAGCTGGGGATCTTGGGCAGGGGGGTTGCGCTTTCCTAGCTCTCTCCCATCCCGGTCCCGCTCTGCCTCAGGTGGTGTCTCCGCTGACGGAGGCTGTGCTCGGGGAGACGCTGCTGACAGTGACGGAGGAGAAGGTCAGCATCACACAGCTTCAGGCCCAGGTGGTGGCCAGCCTGGCCCTCTCCCTGCGGCCCAGCCCTGGGAGCAGCCACACCATCCTAGCCACCACAGCTGCCCAGCAGACCCTGAGCTTCCTCAAGCAGGTAACTGGCTGCTTGGCCCACCAGCCAGGGATTTGGTGGTACGGAAGGAGGACCTGGGGACTCTGCTTTGCCCTAGCACCAAAAGTCCCCAAATTAGGACTTTAGAAAACAGAGGATCTCTGCCCTCCATGCCCTGCACACCTGCCCACCCCATGGCCACAGCATCTACATGGGAGGTCAGAACAAGGTCTCGCTTGCTGCTCTTGCCACCTGAGATGTTCCCTCTGAGGGTCTCCCTCCTGGATTCACAGAGGGCTGTCACCTCCACATCACCCCCAGGAAGTACCCTCACTTATCTCTGAAGCCCCAATTATACACCATGGGCATAGCCACAGGACAAAAGTGGAAAGGTGACAGGTGGGAGTCCTGGGGAGTGAGGAGGTGACAGGTGTGAGTCCTGGGGAGTGAGGAGGTGAGCATCAAGTGCTGAGCCCAGAGTCAGGACACAGGGGTCCTCTGTCCCTAACTCATACCATCACCCCAAGCCAATCACTTCTCTCTGAACCCTACTTCCTCATCTGGAGCAAGGGCAATTCTCAGAAGGTTTTAGCCAACAGGCAGAAGTGGGGAGTGGGTGTGTATTCTCAACAGCTTGTTGTCTGACGGGGGCAAACCCAAGGTCAGGCATGGAGATACGGAGCTATTCCAGCAGCAGAAGGGACTTGAATTAGACCCAAGGCAAAACTTACCTTCCGCTTATCCAGGGGAGACGGGTGAAGTGGACAACGGCATCCTCAGAGCGTTATGAGCCTGGATGCCATGGTCAGGGATTTAGCCTCCCCACACCCTGTAAGGGGGACTCTCACTTGAGCAATAGTTCTTAGTGCCTGCCACAGTCCAGGCACAGTTCCAGTGCTGAGAATACAGCAGGGAGCCAGAGACCTGTGGTCCTCGCCCCTACAGAGCCCAGGATCTAGCAGGAAGCCAGCTAAACAAGCTCTTTGACTCCTGACCCCTCCTTCTCCTCCTCCTCCAGGAAGCCCTACTGAGCCTCTGGCTCTCCTACAGTGATGGCACCACAGCCCCACTCTCCCTCTACAGTCCCCGAGACTACGGACTGCTAGTGAGCAGCCTGGATGAGCGTGTGGCCACTGTGACCCAGGACCGGGCCTTCCCTCTGGTAGTGGCTGAGGCCGAGGGGGCAGGGGAGCTGCTCCGCGCAGAGCTAACCATCGCTGAGAGTTGCCAGAAAACCAGACGCAAGAGTGTGCTGGCCACGACCCCTGTGGGCCTGCGGGTGCACTTTGGGAGGGACGAGGAGGACCCCACTTATGACTACCCGGGCCCCAGCCAACCAGGGCCTGGGGGGGGCGAGGACGAGGCCCGGGGAGCCGGCCCGCCAGGCTCTGCGCTACCCGAACCGGAGGCCCCAGGCCCGGGCACCGCCAGCCCCGTCGTGCCACCCACAGAAGACTTCCTGCCGCTGCCCACCGGCTTCCTGCAGATGCCACGGGGTCTGACCGACCTGGAGATTGGCATGTACGCGCTGCTGGGCGTCTTTTGCCTCGCCATCCTCGTCTTCCTCATCAACTGCATCGTTTTCGTGCTGCGCTACCGGCACAAGCGCATCCCGCCCGAAGGCCAGACCAGCATGGACCACTCTCACCACTGGGTGTTCCTGGGCAACGGGCAGCCGCTGCGAGTGCAAGGGGAGCTCTCGCCGCCGGCAGGCAACCCGCTGGAAACCGTGCCCGCCTGCTGCCACGGCGACCACCACAGCAGCGGCAGCTCTCAGACCAGCGTCCAGAGCCAGGTGCACGGCCGGGGCGACGGCTCCTCGGGCGGCTCAGCCCGGGACCAAGCCGAGGACCCCGCCAGCTCGCCCACCTCCAAGCGCAAGCGGGTCAAGTTCACCACCTTCACCACGCTGCCGTCAGAAGAGCTGGCCTATGACTCGGTGCCCGCCGGCGAAGAGGACGAGGAGGAGGAAGAGGACCTGGGTTGGGGCTGCCCGGATGTGGCGGGCACCACGCGGCCCACTGCACCCCCGGACCTGCACAATTACATGCGCAGAATCAAAGAGATTGCATAGAGGCGCCAACCGGAGTAGCAGGGACTCCCCCATCGGGGTCAGCTCGGGGTAGGACACAGCCGGGACCCCCGGTTCACACGGACTCTGGGCGGCTGAATTGATTTTGTACTCCCTGCCCCTGCAGCTTGACTCGGTGCGGGTCGGGCCGCCTCAGTGTCTGGGTCTTCCCTCGCCTCACACCGTTACCCTCTTCTGCCCCCTGCAGGTGGAGGGCTCTTCCTCCAGTGGCTCGCAAGGAGGAAAGCAAGCCCAGCCTCTGTTCTACCCTTTCCAAATCTCCTCCCATCTTAAGCAACTCCCTGCCCCAAGAGTGAGGCAAGGAGGTCTAGCTTGGGGTCACGTGGGCCCACGCTGTGTCCCGGCCCCGCCTCCCGTCCCCCCGTCGTCCCCCTGTGCAGGGGGTTCTGTGGGGGTCTTGTGTCACAGGCTGCACAAAGACTTTCCTCAAACTAATATTCAGGGATTTCTGTCCTGCAGGGTGGGGAGGTGGCGGCTGCCTGCCCTGCCAAGGATCTTGCTGTGGATGAAATATCTGGGGGCTAGGGGGACAGCTGTAGCATCTGCTGGCATTCGCGTGCCTCCCAGGACCTGGGAGCTGACTCTACAGAGAGGTCTGGGTGCCAAGCCAGGCACCTTCCTGAGTTCTCAGGACTCCCACCCCGGCCCCAAGGGCTTTAGGCAGGGACCTAAAGGGGAAAGAGTCCTGGATCCATCTCTAGCCAAATCACACCCCAGAGCCAGAGGCCTGGGGACCTCCTTGCCTTCCCCTTCCCCTACAGCAAGGTCAACACTACTACGCCTTAGCCACCTCTCACCCTGCTGACCGCGCCTTCCCTCTGCAGCACAGGGCAGGCAGCCACCTATCCCCCACAAGACAGAACCCAGGAGGGGAGTAGAGGGCACCGGGGAATGCTGTGAGGGACTTTAGGGTGAGCAAACCCAGAAGGGAGCCAGTGTCGCCCCAACCCCATCCCACAGCCATTTTTCTCTCGGGTTCTACCCACCACTGTGTCGGATTTTTCTTAAATAAATGGAAGTGGTCAGACTGGAGGTGGGGGCAGCAGCTCCCATGAACAAACAGTACACGGTGGCTGGCTCTGTATCTTCCTTGTGTGCATGGGCAAACACACACACACACACACAAACAAGTCCACACATGCACGCACACACACTCGCACACTGTGGGCACACTACATGACATGAGACCAAAACTCGGCTAGACCAGGCTGTGGTCCTGCTCTTCCTCCCCCAACATGCAGGTCCCTTAAGACCCTCTGGTGTTTTGGGATGCCCAGGTCAAGGGATGAAGAATCCGCTGACCCACAAATGTGCCCTTATAAAGAGGTGCCTCCTCTAAGGCTCTGTCCTGATTGGCTCAGGGGAGGGAAGGGCAGGCCTCGGAACTGCAGAGAAAGATCTTCTGGGGGGGCACAGAAAAATAAGGAGAGAGGTGAGAGGGTTGGTGTGCCCACCTGAGTTACTCCAGCTTCCTTCACTGCCCACCTCTGAGGTGGCCCTTCCTGTAACCACCTCTCCTCCCTTCTCTCCCCCTTGGGGTTGATGGAGAAAGCCTGGGGATCTACATGTTAGAAACCAGACAGGAGAGAGCACATGCGTGTTGGGGTGCCCCTCCCCACCAGTGGGCCATGGGCTAGCTGCATCTCATGCCACACTTGACCCGTGAGTGTGCATGCAGCCCCTCATGAGGCCCTGGGAGCCCACACCCCAGCACAGGCAGCAACCTAGGAGGCACAGGAGCTCAGGCGTGAGTAGGGCAGGAACTCAGCCAAGGCTACCTGGCCAGCATCCAGTGCCCATAGACAGGTGGCTCTGGCAGTCACTTTTGGAAAGGAAAGGAACAGTAACCAGCATGTGTCCCAGAAGCAGCCAGCAGCAGAACTGGGGCTACACTGGCACCTGCCCAGACATGCTGTTGCTCACTATGGAAGGAAGCCTGGCCTCCCACAATCATCTGCTCAGCTGATGGTGCAGCCCAGGGTGGTTGTGAGGATTAAATTGGATCATGTATGAAGAGCACTCTGCACAGCTCCCACAGACAGCATGCCTAGTACAGACAGCTGCGCATAGAGGGTATCAATGAACGGACTTCGCCACAACCAGGTCTTAATTTTCAGGCAAGGCATAGGTCTGAAAGGAAGACTAGAGACTGACCAGCTGTGCCCAAGATACGTTTGGCAACAAAGAAAGGGTGCAGCTCTGCAGCAAGTAAGGAGCTAACAGAAAGCTGAGCCTAAAGCAGAACCACAGGGGAGCCTGGCAGGGGGCTCGCCTTGAGTTCCCAGAACAACAGATATCTGCCATTCAAACATTGCCCTGACTACATGCTCCTGGAGGGGTATGGGGGTCTCAGTCATTTTTTAACCCCCTTGTGCTTAACCTGGTGCCTGGAATCAGCAAGTGCTCAACAAATGATTGCCTACCAAATTAAGTCCAAATGCAAACTCTAAATGGTTTTCACATTATCCCGTATTGAGGGATTTGCTCACTCTACCACCTTACTTGAGGTTCATCACCTCATTCCCTTGGAGTTCTTATAAGAGGTGAGGAGGGCAGGGATGTGAGTCGAGGAAGAATACACTAGGTTGGGGATGTGTGCCAGGTGGGGTAGATTGCTGGTGTGAAACTTGGAACAGGGAGCCATTTGTTTCCTCAATGCATTAAGCTCCTATGCCCTGGACCCTGATGGGGAGTCTGGGAAGCAAAACTGGATCTGTCCTCAAGGAACCCCCAAGCCCATAGGGAAGATGGACAAGTCAGCTGCCCACTGTCATCTGGGATGATGACAGACCTTTACCCTAGGTTGACAGGGCACAAAGGAGGACAGGAGAAGACAACCGAAGCTGAGTTTGCTGAGGACAAGGCCAGGGACAGTCCGGTAAGGAGGACAGAGGCTACAGACTCCACACCCTGTGTTTTGCTGCCTGACTTTGCACTTGCTTTCCCTATGCCTGGAACACGAGTCCCTGGTGGGAGGGGAAGCACAGAAAACACACATGCAAAGGTGCGGAAGCCAGAGAGGGTGATGGGTCCAGCAAGGACAGGAATCAGGCTCAGACTTGAGGTTCCGCTCTTGTGAAGGAAGGAAGGATGGAGGGGAAAGGGGACCCGTTAAGAGGATGCTGCAGCAAAAAGCATGAGGCCCTGCGCCAGAGCAGTAGGTACAGAGAGCTGGGAGCAAACTGATATTCGGCTGCAGAATTCGCCAACTGTACATCCCACACGGAGACGATGAGGAGGAGACCTGAGCTGCTTGGCTGCAGACATCTCTTTCCCAGATAAACTTCGGACACCAGGCCACCCCAAGCAGGAAAGTGGAATGCTGTTTGCAGGCACCAAGGGTTTCACAAACAGGGAGACGAGGACCTAGAGAGGAGAAGCAGTTGGCTCAAAGGCACACAACAAACTCGGAACAGAGCCAGAGCTATGCCTACTGCCCTGTCCTGTAATTTGTGTCCCTCTCTCCTCATCCCTCACCCCCTGTCCAAATGGGAGAATTCAGAAGCAATTGCAAAAAACGTCAACTCCTGACCCTCATGGAGTTCAAGCGGGAGCCGGCTTGGTGGGAATGCAGCAGGACATTAAGTTAACAGCCCCTCTGGAATGGCCTCGGTCCTTGCACTCCTCTTTAAAAATTTGTCTTCAACCCCGAAAACGAATCGAGGGACCTTGTAAAGAATAGTTATTGACAGAGAGTTGCTTAGGGAGCACCAGGGAGCCAGGCCCATGAATCAGATCACTAGCAAAATGAGATTTCTCAGACAGCCAGGGCTGGCGAAGGCAGACCGGGAGATTTGGAGGAACTGCCCGGAGCCCACCCTGCCGCAGCCCCAGCCCCACGCTGCCCGCTGTCCTCTCCACATCAGCCCTGGACGCTCCTCCATGCCTGTCTTTAACAAACACTAACTTCAGCCCAGTGTGCTCCCCTTAAGAGAAGGCTTCAGGGGGTGGGGAGTGGGGGGTGTGTTTGGAGCCCAGTTGAGAAAATGGAAAACACAGTAAGTAGGCTAGAGAAGGAAACTCTCGTCTGAAGGGGCAAAACGTTCTAAGATACATTGGAAGGGACTTGTGGGGTCTGACAGTGCATTTGCCATGTGACCTTTAGCCAATATGTCACCATTTCTGAGCCCTGGTGTCCCCATACATAAAAACATGGGAATCACTGCTTCTAGGCAGTGTCTACTGGCCTCCCTGAAGAGGCCCTGCTATTTCAACACTTGTATTTCTTTTTCTCTCTTTTTTTATTTTTCCATTTATTTATGTATTTATTTAGAGACAGAGTCTTGCTCTGTCACCCAGGTTGGAGTATAGTGGCACAATCACAGCTTGCTGCAGCCTGGACATCCTGGGCTCAGGCGATCCTCCTGCCTTAGCCTCCTGAGTAGCTGGGACTAGAAGTGTGCACCACCACTCCCAGCTACATTTTTATTTTTTATATTTTGTAGAGGTGGGGTCTTACTGTGTTAACCAGGTTGGTCTTGAGCTCCTAGCTTCAAGCAATCCTCCTGCCTCCCCCTCCCAAAGTGCTGGGATTGTGGGAGTGAGCCACCATGACTGGCAACACTTGTATTTCTAATAAGAGTCATGGAAGATAGGAATTATGGCCATTTTATAGATAAGGAGGCAAGCACACAAAGAGGGCAAGTAACTTGCCTTCAGCTTAGAAGTGACCTGGTGGGCAGCTCCAAACCTACCTGCTTTCTGCTACATCCTGAGGCAACTGATGATGTTGGAAAGTGAAGGGAATGAGGTTGGAGAGATTTTTAAGTGGGAGAAGAAGAGGGAAGGGTCTCTAAGGATTTGATGTGCTCAGTAGTGGGGTCAAGGCTGTGGGACCCCCATTTAAGTCACAGATTGGGGATAGTGTTGGGGCAGATGGAAGACTGTGAATATGCCATAGATGCTTGGCCTCTGCCATTGCTGGAGTAACCACACTCCCTCCTCCACTGGGAACTCCATCCCTAGCTGACTATCACAGCAGACAACCATCAGCTTCTGAAAGCAGAGAACCAGCAGAACTTCCTGAGCAAGGCACTGAGCTGAGCTTCTTCGGAGAGCTGGTGGCACAAGTGGAGATGCCTCATGTAGGGAGATGGGCATAAGCCAGCACCTGCCCTTTCCCTTGAGATACTGGCTGTTCCTTCAGCCTCTTGGGCTAAACAAGAGAAACTGGGAAGTGGAAGCCATCCCCTATGGCCCTCATCCTTGCCACATCAGCTCAGTGAATGTTTATTATACCCTTGCCATAGATCTGACAGAGTGGCAAGCACAGAGGAAGCAGGAGTATTAAATAACCGCTGGCATTCACTGAGAGCTCATTACATACTAACCACTGTAGAGCTGTCATTTTATTGACTCCCCACAATAACCAAGTAAGATAGGTATTATTATTATACCCATTTTACAGATGATAAAATTGAGGCTCAGAGAAGTTACATAACTTGTCTCATGCCACCCAGCAAATAAATATCAGAGGCAGGATTCATTATAATAGTCTCAAGTTCTACGGTCTCCCTGCTGCTCCACACTGCCCTCCTCAGTGGAGCCTGGCAGTTCAGATAATCATTCTGATGCAGTGGCCAGAGTGCTAGACTGGATTACAGGGGCTTAGTGGGGTTCTCACTCTGGCATTGACTGGTCATGTGGCCATGAGCCTGGTACCACCCACATCTGGAGCAAGCCAAGACCCTCAACAAGAGGCCAGGAGCCAGATGGTCCCTCCAGTGCTGTCCCTTCAGTCTTGATGGTTCTTGGGCCTTATGGTATGAAGCCTGGCACACCCAGACCTGCCAGTTCACACCCTCCCTTCACCCATCCCGTTGGACAGTTGTTGTGTGGTGGGAGGTGGCAGAAGTGGGCAGTAACAAGTGTCAGGGGTCCCCAGCTGTCCTCCAAGCTTTGCCAGCTCTGCCATCCTCTATTTGGTGCTGCCATGGGCGGGTGCTCCTGTGGGTTTGGGGTTTGCTGTGTTGGAGGAGGCTGGGCATTGTGAAGGAAAAAGGGAGGATGGGAATGGTAACTACCCCTTTGCTGTGTGTGCCAGAATGACAGTGAGTCTCAGGGTT